AATATAATACTTTCTTTAGATTACATTTATTTTTTCAAATTGAAATGAGTCTTTTTGGTTAGATAAAATCATAGAGATAAACAGATCTGGGTTTGACACTATTGTTATGTGTTGACTGTGAAACTACAATACTAAAACATCTTTCTATTATGTACTGTTAGGATTAGTTTAATTTTGTTTTGTTTTTTTATTACCAGGCATGTCTGCTCCCTTGTTGTGGCTACAGAATCGTCTTATCAAAACGGCAGAAGACCGTGAAGAAGATGGTGAGTAACACTGTGAAAAATGTTTTGCAAATAGTTGATTTACTCTGTTGTAAGTGGTTATAGCTCGCAGGGAACTAACAGCATGTGTGAAAATCATAATGTCCTTAGTGTTGTTTGGTCTGATAATGACATTGTGTCTTCCATTTCACAGGTTTGTCCCAGCCTGTGCCAATTGTACCTCTGAACGAGGAAAATGAAGACGCAATGGACAAAAAGAGCTTCCAGAAGCTGCTGCGAAAACTGGGTCTTCGAGCACCTGAAAATGAACAGGTGTGGGGTTTTTGTGTGTCCTTTCACCTTATGCTAAGTATAGCATTTTGATCTGATCTCTGTGCTTTCCTTGAGAGAGAGTTTCTGCATTTGCAAATACAATTCTAACATGTTTTTATTTGACTGTTCTGTAAACAGGAGACATTTTGGAGGATCCCAGCAAAGATCAGTGTGTCCCAGCTGCGCAGTGCGGCTGCAGCTCTTAGTCCAAGAGAGGAGGAACCTACAGGAGGAGAGGAGCAGGACGGCTCCAGAAGTCCAGCCAGAGAATCTGAGAAGGAGGATGAGAAGGAAAAAGATAAGGAGCAAGAGAAGGAGAAGGATAAGGACAAGAAGGGGGTCTCAGGTGAACAGAGGGCTGAGGCTCTGAAAGCTCTGCTGCTCAAACGCAAGAGGAAACACCAAACCTCCGAGCAGACAGGTATGTGTCACAGATTGTGCACCTCGTCTCAGTTAACACTAGTTAATTACAGCTCTGTCAAGTAGGTAGGTGTTAAATGACATATAACAGCCTGCTGCAGCTCATGTAGCAGCCAATGATGTGTTTATGCATAAGAAAGCCACTGCAAGGCTGGTGGATCAACGGGAAACTAGATATAGGATGCAGCATTCTATACCAGATTAATTATTTTTGGGTTAAATCCACTGCTTATTAAAGATGAGTAAAGGTTTAAGATGATTTACTTTCATTGTTAAACTTCTTTGTTGTTGTTTCCTCCCTTTGTCAGATTTCACTCCTGCTGAGGATACAGAAAGTACACCTGAGAGGTGAGGCATCGCCCTTTGTTTTTTGTAAATCAGCCAAACCACAGCAGAGAAGACCATTTTTAAATCTGAAAACTACTCAATTCTTTAACTGATCCTGTTCACACCAGGTCCCAGGAAAATACCTCAACTAAGAGAAGCAAACGCAGAGTGTTGGACGACGACAGCGATGATGATGATGAGAAAGGTATCTACGTGTTTGATATTGAATCAATCATTTAATATGTTAGTTTAAAGGTATAATATGTAACATTCACATGTAAAAATATCAAAGAAACAAACAGAGCTATGTTATATATAAGTTGTTGAGTTGTTAACTTATATTTTTTATTTTTAAACAATTTTCAAACCTAGAAAAAAACACATTTTAATGAAAGAAATGGTCTGTTTGATTTGGTCACCGACCACTAGTCTAAGACAAGTTACAAGCCTCAGACAATATTGACTTTTAATCCAAACTGAACATTTTGGCTGACACATTACTGTCTTTACAGAAAATGACTCCACCACTGCAATGGATATTGAAACCAACGGGGATTCAGACAAGGAGGATATCTCTGCTCCTGTGAAGCGTAGACGGAAGATGGTCTTAAGTGATGACGAGGACGATGAGGATTAGTAACTTTGTTTAATGGACTTCAGAAACTGCAGACAGGGGAGAGATAAAAGGCCTTCACTTTACTTAGAGGTGAATACAGCCCTCTGGAGGCTCTGCAGTCCAGACAAGGGGAAACTATTAATGGAATACCTAATAACCCAAAGTAAAAGGCCCTTAAGACTGGTGGATACATGGAGCTTAGTAGGCGTTTTGTCATTCCTTTGTTGAGCTTTCTTATTGCATGTTTGTAGTTATGATCGTTCATCAGCCTCTATTGTTAGTCATCCTTTTTCTCTTAGTATTCTCAGCATGGACATAGATGTTGCTGTCAGAGAAAATGTGCATCACAGGTTTTCGTAACTTAATAATAATGTGTTTGATCTGAAAGTTGAAGGTTAATTGTTGCAATATTTAATTAAAATTGCCTCTTGCATTTGTATTCCGGTAATTTTCAATTTCAACTTCGGTATTTAAGATTTACATGCATTTATATTTGATAATAAAAAAAGAATGCTGTGGCTCACTGGCAGCTTTTGTTTCGTCACTTTGTTGCACTGTATCATTCTAACACTAGAGGGTGCTTAAGAGTTGAACTGTTACCTTTGTGAATTTTTTTAAAATATATCAATACCTGTATGTAGAATATCAAATGTTAACTCTTATACTGTACATCAATTAAAATGATTTATTTTAACAGGACTTTTATTAACATAATACCTCCTGTAGTGAGTAAGGCCAGGCTCAATGAGAATAGTGACATAAAACCACAGTATATCTACTTGGCTTTATACTTATACAGAGATGACATGAACAAATGTGTTTTGTTTGAGCTTTCTTATCATGTATGTGTGCAGGGCAGTCGCTGCCTGTAGTCTTCAGCGTTTTGCAGCTGTGTTGGAGGTGGTCTCCTGTCCCCACATCTGGACCTTGTTAGTAACTTCCTGTCACAGCATCTGCTCTGCCCCCATCCCACAGAGCCACAAGCAGACCTGACAGTCCACAGATACTGCTGTGAGTTAAACATGTGAGCACGACAGTGGGTGGGTGTACATTCATGAAACTAAGAGATTAAAGTTATCTTGCTTCCTCTGCATGGAGGACTGTCTCAATATGTCTCCATATGATAACCGAAACCAGGCTTTGACAGGCTGTACATTTATCAAAGGGAATAGCAAGGATGACTCATTGTTTTTATCAAAACATAAAAGCCTGGAGGCTGTATTGCATAAATGTTGGCAGCCAATGTATTACAAAGGAATTATATCATGCAAACTTTCAGTAAACGGAAGCCACATTGTAAGTCGAATTGAAGATCTGGCTTTTACTTTTAAAGCTACAGAAAGTCATAGAAAATCATAATTTGCCTTCACAAAATGTCCTAAAAAGACATCAACTATATATATTACCTTGGTTAAAAATATGCATATAAAAAGGTATTCTAAGCCTAACTAAAGGGGAAACTTAGACAAACAAAACTAATGTTGCTGCTTTTTTTTTTTAATGTTCAACGTAAATAATTGCTGAATCTGAATCCTAAATGTCGTAAATCCTTGTATATCTATATGTAGCGATTCTCCTGCCATAGGTCACCTTGGGGCACAGTCTAATTTAGGTAAATTCTCATGGAAATGTACTTGTCCTTTTGGTTGTGAGGTTAAAAACTACCTGATTTGAATGTGGCAATGTATTTTTCCCCAGAACTCACTTCGGGTGGAACTTACAGCTTCATTACTAGCTTGATGTCGAAACATGACACGATGCACATAGCCTTAACCCTACTTCTATACTATTTTCCCATGCGTGTTAGTTCATTCCATTTTTCCATTCAACCTTCAGGCTGTTAAGTAATGATCTGGAATCTTTATGATCTGCTCAGCTGAGTACAACCGGATTGAACCGATTATAAAATTATCTTTGTATGTAAATGAAGACAGTGAACAATCTAAACATGTAAAACAACAAACTCTTGTTACTCTCTAAACTCAGATTTACATTGTCATTCAAATAAAGCTATCTCCCAACCCTCTTCAGTGTGTAACTATAAATACAAAGGCAGATAGAAAGGAGTTAGACTGTTAAAAACACCTAATCTATATATATTGTGTCGTTATCACTTTCTGAAAAAAGACACCCTTTAAAACGGGTTTAACTTCGTAGATCAGTTATAATCCATTAGTTAGGACTATTGTGTAAATAAATTAGTGTTAGAATCCAATGACTATAGTTTTTGGTATACCTATCTGCAGTAGGCCTATTTCTCCAGTAGGTCAGAGGTCATGGTTTCTATTGAGTGTGTTACTTGATAACTGAACTATCAAGAGAAAGCTAGTGGAAGACGACCAACGACAAAAAACCTAGCAATGTTTTGGGGTTTTTATTCTCTACAAAAATGTTTTTAATTAGTTATTCATAAATGGTAAAGTAATCATATTTAATAGGCCTAATACACTTTTATTTAGATTTCTACAAAACCTTTAAGTTACAAAGTAATTAACATGGAAAACAGGAACAACAATTCAGGATTCAAATATAAAATAGAAAGCACTAACATTTAAAAGAAAGAATTTAGATATCAATTATGACCTGGTCACCTATACATCCTTCAAAGGGGCCTTTATTAGAACGTGGTACTGTTAAAGCCAGCACTTTGGACTATCCCCTAATTAAAAAACAGCTGTAGTTCAGCTGGTGTGGGTCTTAATTATAACTTTAGCTGACATGTGTTCTCATGGGAAGTTGGACAACATCTGACAAACACAAGGGTTTTCTGTAAATTGACTAATGTGACTAATATTTGATTTATTTTGTGTCAAACACAAACACTTTAAAAAATCAAAGTAAAATCAGGGTGAGTTTATTACAGGAGCTCGGGTATAGCCAGCTAGCTCATTAAAGCTAGGGCCTCGCTCATCTGTTGCTGAGCCCCCTCACCCCTCCCTCCGCTTCTGACGACGCTGCTGGATGGAGATAGAGAGGGGGATTGGGGGATTGCCTCGGAGGGAAACTTTTCCTCCTTTGTTTTTTTAAGTGCCGTTTACTTCAGCGACGAGAAATGGGAGAGGGGAGGTGTGTGAGGGAGGTTAGTTAAGATTTTCCAGAGAGGAGGAGGAGGAGGAGGAGGAGGAGGAGGAGGGAGTAGTTTGGTTTGTGGAGTCACAGACGGGAACTCCAACGGTTAGACACGAAGTGAGGGAGAATGGAAACCAGCTAACCGTCCTCCTCACATCTGCACTCACAGCCATGTTTGCGTTCAAAACGTTTGCCTGAGGCAGGGTTGGGACAATAATGATGCCGTTGTTGTCGGTTTAATGCTAGTGTGTGAAGTTTAAAAAGAGCCTAGGGAGACGTTGGGAGAAAACCGGTTTACCCTGGTACCCTACCGCCGCTTTTTGTCGGTGAATGGTGGGGTGTTTTTCCTGTTTGACAGAGCAGATTGTCAAGGAGAAGTTACAACTGCCGAACAGCCAGGCTCAGCGGTAAGTTTTAAAATAATTTACTGAAGAAAGAAAATGTGTTTCAGATCTCCACATGACTAGATCATTCTTTGTATTTACAGGTTTGGTTGTCTGACTGCTTTTCTTTTTCAGATGACATTTGAGTATGTTACTCCATTTACCGATAATGACTGATTGTAGTCGAGCGATTCCACCTCAGGTCCTGCCTGATGAGTGCCAAACTCTACAGCTGGAAATATTTGTAATAACACGTAGCCAGCCTGTCTGCTTCCATGGCTGCTCCCCTTTTACATTTTACACTTGAAGCACACAATGCAATTTATCCTTCAGCCTTTGAGGACAAGGACATAATCATCCAGAATAATAATGTCTTTATTGGTGTGCACTGAACCAAACATGTAGCCCAAAATTCCCCAGTGCTGGGCTTTGATCAGGACTGGCTGGGAATAAGTTAGTGATATGAAAGTTCTGCCATTGGAAGAGGCAAGTGGCCTGTAGTACTTAACATAATAACTACATTCTTATTTGAGTTTTTAATAGTTTTAAATCCAGTCATGTGTTATAACATTGTTTGGCAAAGTTGAATAGTGTAGAATAAGCATATGGAAGCTTCCCTCATCTTTTAGGCAAACATATGTCTCTTTATAGCCCACGTTGGCATGCATTCTCCCTGCGGTTCTGCTGTGTGATCCAGGGTGGGAGTGCCTTTTGGGTTTTTGTCTTGAGATGACAGCCTACATGTCCTGTCTTTACTGGGGACTGCAGTCTGTAGTTACCCCCCCAAGTGCACCACCCCATCTACTTCACTGTCAGCCTGCACCAGATGGTTTTACACCTTTGAAAAGGCAGAGAGGAAGCCCTTCCCTGCTCTGGGAAAGAGAGAAGGCAGGAAAGAAGGCATAGAGCGCAGGGGTTAATGAAAGTTAGACTACACATGTTGTTATGTGTGGTGCCTTTTAATTAGCAAGGACCCAAGAGTGTTGTTTTTGTCTCGTTCTATGCTATGGTGACTCCTCTTATGTTTAACGATTATTATTTAAAATACTTTAAAAGAGTGTTTTTAGGGACAGAGAGTGTACACAGCAAGAGCAGCTGAGCCACACAGAAAAGTAGGAATTCCCATTTTATGAGGACCGGCTTTAATTTAAAGTTTGGGTAATTACTGTGTTTGGATCGGCTTTCCTCTTCAAACACAAGCGATCTTTCCCCCCTTTAGACAAAAAGGCCAGGCAAAGGTCTATTCTTCTTAAGGTATTGGCTGGCTTTATCAGCAGTAACAAACTTATCTGAAATGGCCAACTCTATGATTTATAGTAATAAGTTGAATGAAATACACAATTCTTACTTTTTACTCTACATAATAAAACAAATATGTTTGTCAAAAGCTGTCTGATAGCACTCAATAAAAAAATCTCTTATTTCTTTTCAGTTGTTGTGGCAGTAAAAAAAGACGAACTTCATTACTATGGTAACTTAAAAAATTGCTTTCATTCAGGTGGGTTTACGTCAGGGGTTTTCAGAATTGTTTGGTAAGCACTCCAACATTGTCAGGCCTAGGGATGGGACGATATATCATCTGGTAAGAAAGAACAGACGCACACAACGTTGCTTTAGTTTTGATTATTTATGCAGAGGGATTAATTATTTCCTTATTTAAGAACGAGCTGTCTTATCTTTGCAATATAAATACTTGTTTCTTATCAAGGTATGCTTACAACTGTTAACATGGCACACAAGCATACCAGAATCATTTTGGATAGTGGGGACATTAAATTCTTACCATCCCATGCCTAGTCAGGCCACATGCTCAGGCCTCCTCCATCTGTCCATATGGACGACACATGGACATTGTGTACTGAGGAGGTACTCTACGCTTGTCACAATGAATATGAGCAGTTATGGGAGAGCTGTTTTGTATAATCTGCCTTCATCGGCAAATGCAGATGATCCCTTTGTCTTCCTGCATTACATATTAAATGACAAACTAAAGCGTAACTAAAAGAAAATGTATCATGGCTGAGCATCGACCTTATTTCCCGTGAGACTCAGAGATGGAAGGATTCTGAGACTCCTGGGTGCAAGAGAAACCCCATTGTCACATGGAAACCACATAACAACTGATTCCAGTCATTTTGAAACATCCATGGGCTACTTATAGCCCTTTAAACATAGGTTGTAGTTATTATGACATGAGAGGGGTGTAAGTTTGCTTGGAAAATAAAGGGCACACGTGATATTTTAGGCTCTTGAGATCGCTGTAGGAGGTACAATTATTTTGAACTGGAATTTGAAAAAGACGGTAAATGGCTGCTCTAAATGATAGAGCTGCAGACATATATAGGCACTGCATGGAGGTCTGAAGTGAAGCGCTACTGACTCTGGCACTACAGCAAACATTTCTACAAAGTATTATAAGTTAATCAGTTTTATCGGATTTTACTTTGACAGTCTGCCTAAGAAACTCTTTAACCCTGTAAAAATAAATAAAACACCCAAGTTTGATGAGAGCTAAACCAGTTTTAATATAATAAATATCATTATTGCCGTATGACATTTTCCCAGATTGACTTCACACAGCACACTCTTGTAACTGGTTGGACGTTGTTCCTTTCTTCTGCTCTAATCCAACCTAGTGTTCATTAGCAGAATATATTATCTCATACACAGTGCCTCACTGTCATGCCCTCACTAACATATGGACTCCACCGCGCCGCCTACTAAATGCTGCTCTCCACCACAAACCCTAATAGAGCGTTATGGAGCTGCCCCACCTAGCTGCACACGCTCCACACTGTTCCTTCTGCTGCTGGATAACTGCTTCAATTTACTGCAGCATACAGTGTTCTCTTGGTAGATGGATATAACTCCTAACATGTTGTATTGCCATGTGTATTTCTAATGTACATTACACGCGCATGCACCATCAACATGTGACTCTTGAAAAGGCTCCTTATTGTGTTTCTGATCTTTCTCATGCCTCTCTTTAAGTAGCTCTCTGCATTTTTAAGTTGAAAGGCCTCCATTGTTAAGACTTTAATCAGGCCTGAGATTGAGAGATTATGAGGAAAGGCCTACTTCTTTATTAAATATTGCCAAGTGACTATTATTTGGGTCCATGGCTAGAGTGCAGCATATTTAGCAGGCAGAATTAGGAACTTGATATTTTTGGGAAATAGGAGACTTCAGTTTGAGTCCTACATTACATCTGCCAGGAAGATGGTGACTAGTCAACTGCCAATTGTGTCTCATTAAATATGTTGTCAATGTGCATAACTCTAAAGAAGTAATGAAGACGTTGAAACACTTTCTGTGCTGTGTGCAATAGAAATGTAGTAGGGTGGATTGAGTCAGCACTTGGAGGCAAATCCAATCAAATTTTGAAAACCCCTTTATTTTAGTTCAATAAAGGTGTGTTTCATCCAAGTGCATATGTTTGTATCACATCTTGTCATGTAGTTGATTTTAAGTCCATGTACTGGTAAATCTCTTTTGATTTAGCAACTGATGAGTAGGGAAAGACCATGTGACATACTTGAAAGGCTGCTTCTGTAGAGAACAGACCTGAATACAGATGAAGATGAATATATGATACATTTATCACAGATGCACAAATGCACAAAGCCTCTCTGACGTTATGCCTGATTACGTTTGGCCCTTTAATGGCACCTTAGCGAGGTATTATGTTAAGATTGTAAGCTTCTGAGAAACCAGCATCATAAGTAAGAACTTAACTGTTACGCATCATCATGTATGTCCTTATATCGATAATATTTAAAAACTAAAGCTTTAAGACTAGCACACATTCAGCTTCCACAGGTTTGATTTTAGGCAACTTATGGCGCATTTCCACCACACGGTCGGCCTCGGCCACGCTCAGTACTGCTTGGCCGCGTTGGGCCTTAACAGGGCCGGCTCACTTCATGCTGCGCTTCCATTACAGTTTAGGAACTGGGGTAGTTACTATAGTAACGCAGTGTAGGCGGAGCCGTGACGTCATCTTCAATGAGAACCCCAGAAAAACAACACAGCCGTTAGCTGTTAGCACTCAGAGCTCACAGCTCCTTATATATGTTCAGAAACTCGACAAAAGTTAAACAAGTACACACCACAGACTGCCTGTGTCATGGCGAGTACAGTCGCTGCTTTATTTATGTCTGTATAGGCCGTTGTTGTGAGTGTGGACGGTCGGAGCATATACTGCGTTAGCTTAGCCAATCTCCATTTAGAAAACACGCATTTTAAAAGGTTTTTCGCCTGCCGTCTGTCTGCAGACTTGACAAAGCATTAATTCATGGTTTTTACTCACCGGTATCAGTATGTTGTTACTTCGGCATCATTTTGAAACGTGTATTACAATTAAATCACGGTCAAATATGTCCATCTTGTTGTAGTTGTAGCCCCCTTGCCAGCGATGCTCTCTCTAGTTTAGCATACTCAGCCCGACTCAGCCCTGTTTGTTGGCCCCGATAGAACCACAATTTTGTCGGGCCAGAAAAGAGGTGAAAAAGTGGCCCCGGGCCGGGCCGGGCCGGGCCGTACCTAGGCCTAGTGGAAGCGCAACCAAAAACGGGCACGGCACGACACGGCACGCTTAAACCGCGCTCCGCGCCATGGTGGAAATGCGCCATTATACTCTTCTGTATGGCAGGAAGGAGAACAGACCTCTTGAAGCATATAGCAAATGAATGAGGGTGGGGGCTGAGCTAAATTGCACGCCCCTTTCTTGAGGGCAGGCATGTCTCTGTGGCGCAATTGGTTAGCGCGTTCGGCTGTTAACCGAAAGGTTGGTGGTTCAAGCCCACCCAGGGACGTTTTCTGTTTGAATAAACATGTAAGGTAACATGACAGTTGACGTGTTCAGGGGCAAGGTTCCAGGAAACCAGTAACAAAAGTATAACTGTTACACATTCATTATCAGTTGCTGTATGTCCTTCTTTCGACAAAAATTGAAGACACTAAAGCTTTAAGAACTGGCACACATTTAGCTTCCACAGGTTTAATTTGAGTCAACTTCTACTTTT